TCTATGCTAGGTCGTGGTGGGTCTTCAATGTAAACTATCCTCTTTGTAATGTCTTTCGCACCGACTAGCTTTGTTAGTGCGTTGGCCTCGATGTTTTCAGACCTTGGGACTTATTGGATGTACCAAGAGAGGAAGTTGGGCAGGAGCTCTCTAACCTTGGCCAAATAGGCCGACATGGTGGGTTCCCGGGATTCATACTACCCATTCACTTGGTTCACATCTAGTTGTGAGTTGTTGCACACGATGAGATGCTTCATGCCAACTTCATTTGCCAATGATAACCCGGCTATTAGCACATCATACTTAACTTTGTTGTTCGAGGTTCAGAATGCGAATCGTAGAGCGTACTTTAGTTTCATTTTGCTAGGTCCATAGGGGATTAGTCTAGCTCTTCTTTTCGCGCTGGTTGGAAGAGCCATCCATATGGAGGATCTAGGGCTCCTTGTTCCAAGTCGGGTCGGGTGCTACACTGGTAGTAGCCTCTAAGGTGGCCATAGGCTTTGCAACCTCAGGGGTCATCATGCTAAATGTACACTTAGCAATCAAGTCTACCAGGACCTGCAACTTGATCGTTGAGTGCAACTCTAATCGGATGTCGTACTCATTGAGTTTGATTTCCCATTTTGTCAACATTCCCAAGACCTCGGGCTTTTAAATAACTTGCCTCAAAGGTCGATTGGTTAGGACTACAACGGTGTAGGCTTGGAAGTAAGGGCACAATTTTTGGGCTATAAGAACTAGCGAGAAGGCTAGCTTCTCGATATCAGGATACCTAGGCTCAGTGGCGTGTAGGACTTTGCTCACATAATAGACAGGTCATTGCACTATGTCCACTTCACGGATTAGGACCGAGCTGACTACCTCATTACTTGCATAGAGGTAGAGTTTTAGCTTGTCTTCGGGTTTTGGCCTAGTCAACAAGGGTGGTGAACTTAGATACCTTTTTAGCTTGTTAAATGCGAGCTGGCACTCTTAAATTCATTTGGAGTCTTGGTTCTTTTTTATAGCTTTGAAGAACGGAAGGCACTGCCCAACCAATTTAGACATAAACCGGTTCAGGGCGGCTATCTATCCTATTAGCCTTTGGACCTCTTTAATCGACCAAGGGGTCTCATATCTAGGTTGACCTAGATTTTTTCTAGGTTAGCCTCGATGCCACGTTGGTTTACTATATACTTGTTCGGGTTGAGCTTCATGTTGTACTTCTTAAAATGTTAAACACGTAATTTAGGTAAGAAATTAAAGAATTTGAAAACTAGGTTTTCAAAACCATATCATCAATATATGCCTTTATTTTATTTCCAATTAAATCAAAAAACAATTTGTTTACATAGTAGGTCGCTCCAACATTTTTTAAACTAAAGGGCATAACTTTATAGCGATACAAGCTTGTTTCAGTTACAAAGATGGTTTTCTCCTAGTTGGATAGATCCATCTGGATTTTTTGGTTGCAACTAGAGTAAGCATCCATGAAGCTCAACAGTTCGAACCCTAGGTCACGTCTACCCGGTAGTCTATCAATGGGAGTGGGAAGCTATCCTTTAAGCAAACTTTATTGAGGTCAGTGTAGTCGACACACATGCGCCATTTTCTGCTGGCCTTCTTTACGAGCATTGGGTTTGCAATCCATCTTGGACATTGGACCTCTTTAATGAAACCTACTCATCCACTATCCTCAACTGCTCCTCAATGAGGTTCCTTTTCCTCTACTGGATTGGTCTAATTAAAGGGTCAACATTTAGCTTATGAGTTATGAGAGAGGGAGTCTATGTAGGGCATTTCTGCTACTGACCAAGCAAAAACATCTAAATTATTAATTAAAAAGCTTACTAGTTTAGAATACAGTGGTTCCATGAGACAAGCTCCGATCTGCACCATCTTCGCGGGGTTGGTATCCAACACTAACACCAGTATGGTGTCTTCCATGCGACAAGCTCTCTCATCATTGTTCTCCGGGGATGACTCTAAGTTGGCATCAACAACCTGCTTTCCTTTGCCCTTGAGCGTGGTCACATAGCACATCTGCGACTCAAGCTGATCTCATTGCACCACTCCTACTCCATAGTCCGTCGGGAATTTCATTGACAGGTGATAAGTTGGCACCACAGCTCTAAGGGCGTGTAGGATCCACCGGCCTAAGATGGCATTGTAGGGTGAGGGAGTCGCGACCACTAGGAAGTTGTAGTCGAAGCACATGGTTTGGTGGCGAGCCCACTGTCACTAGCACTCTTATGCGGCCTAGAGGCTGTACCACTTATTCATTGAAGCCGACTAGGGGAACATCGATTGGTTGTAGGTCCTTCCTCTCCAGTTCAATCCGCTTGAATGCCTCCAGGAATATGATGTCTACCGAGCTGCCGGTGTCGACTAGAATCCACTTTACCTCGGAGTTGTTTATCACTAACTTGACTACGAGTGCATCATCATGCGGATACTAGATCCCGCAAGCATCATCCTCGGTAAAGTAAGTGACTTCCTCCACACGAGGGCTCTTTGACAGGTTCTCATCCTCATTCAGAAGCTCCCGGACTGAGTTCTTTCCTACGGAGGTACTGCATCCTACCATAATGGACCCACTTGTGATCATGTTGATCACACCACAGATGGGCTGCTCTATTGGTGGTGGGTCTCAGGGAGGCTGATCTTTGTTCTAGTCCTTGCTCAACTGCGGTACTTCTCTGGGATGGTTGGTAGGTTAGTGGCGGTCCTCATGCTTGATGAATTGCTTCAAGTAACCTCGGTGGATCAATTCCTCGATCTCATCCTTGAGATTACGACAATTGTCTATATCATGGCCAATATCCCAATGAAAGTGGTAGTACTTATTTGGGTTCCTTTGAGTCTCAATCCTCTCATCATGTGTGGCCATTTGACCTACTTGCTCGTCTTTATTTACATCAAAATTTCTCCCCTCTTTGCATTCAGTGCTATGTAGTTGCGGTTCTAGATGGGAGGGGTGTGAGAATGCTGGCCTGAGGACTTGCTACCTCTATAAGGTGACCTGTTGTGCCAGTTAAGGAACTCCTCCATAGAGGTTGGAGGGTTCAACTTAACCTCCTAGTGCAAGTCAAGATGTCGGACGCTGTTGATTGCCGCAGTGAGCTATAAGGCTAGGTCGAGGTTCGGGATCTGTAACCGCTCCAGGTTGAACTGCTTGATGTAACCCTAGAGCTTCTTGTCAAGTCGCTGGATGACGTTCAATAAACAAGTTCCCAACTTTGGGCACTACTTTCTCATCGTGAAGTGTGTGGTGAAGAGGTCAACGAACTGACTCCAACTCTTAATGGAGCCTGCGACCAACCCCGAGTACCACATCCGAGCTGTGCCCCGGAAGGTGGTCAAGAAGGCTATGCAAAGGCTCGCGTCATTGGCCCCGTGTAGCTGCATCAATGCTTGGAAACTGTCAAAGTGATTGACTAGGTCAATGGTTTCGTAATAGGACTCCAGGCTAGGGGCCTTGAAATCCTTAGGCCATGTGCCATGAGATTTCCGCAACCAGTGGCAAGGTTCGAGTCACTGGCTGTGTAGATGATGCCTTCTTCGGGACCCTTCAGTGGAGCTGGTAGCCTTGGACATTACAATTTGGGTTGATTCCATGGTGGCAACCTGGTTYTGGTCGTCTTGATAGTGAGGTGGGTCCAACACTTGGTTTTGGTTATAATTTTGGTAATTAGGCTATTGGTTCTGGTTAGCGTTCTACCCTGCGGCCTGATGTTGTCGGTGCTGTTGTTGCATCATTGTTAGTGCCGCAAAACGACTTTCCCACGTTCTCATCTGTAGGTCAATCCCGTGGGCGAACAACACTAGTTCATTGAACTAGAGACCATTGATTCCAACGAGAACCATGGAGGGCTCGATTGATGGAAGAGGGCGCATTCACAGTGGGCAGAGGGCGGTTAGGGTTCTGCATGACAGGGATGCCTAGTAAGTTAGGGGCACGATGAACTTCCCAATAGTGACAGAGGGGACATCGGTATGCATGGCATGCTGGTCTTGCCCC